GGTGACTGCACTTGGGGAGCTTCCATCGCCCGAAAGAGACTGCCTAATGGCGAGGGGACACGGGCAGCCACGCCTCGCCCCAAAGCGGCTGGGGACTCTGCCTTCGGGGAGCTTTCGTCGGCCGATAGAAGCAGCCTCACGGCGAGGTACGTGCGTATGGGCCGCTCTAAGTGGGGGAGGAAATTAAGTCACCCCCCAAAAGATGGCCTAGCCTTATTTTGTGAAAAACACTGTGTGTGTGTGTGTGTGTGTGTGTGTGTGTGTGTGTGTGTATGACTCACAGATGAACACTATACAGAAGCCTGATGATGGCAGATGAGATTCTGCCGAAACGTTGCTACAACTTTAAAAGCACAACTACAATGACATGGGAAAATACCCGAACAAAGCTGAATGTCATACATGTAAGTACCCGCGAAAACTTAAGAAAACATATATATTTTCTTAAGTATATATATCTGTGTGTGTCTATGTTTGTCTCTGTGTGTGTGTGTGTGTGTGTGTTGGGATTCAAATTGTTTTACCACTGGTTCTGTGGGCATGGCTTGGTTGGTGTGCACTTACGTACACACGAGCCTTGCACGCATTGGTGGCAAATATGCACTTCATGCATGTGCAAAGTCTTTCCTATTGACCTTCTCCTGCACTTAACAGCTGACATGCAGCAATCCGCTGTGCCACACGAAGCAGCTGAGCTTCAAAAGCAGGAAATAAAGGTCAGTATGGAGCAGGGGCCCAAGCAGCTGATCATCGGAGAGAACCAGATTGCTCCCAGATAAACTTCAGAGCTACCGGTAGAATCCCATCTCTGAGATATACAGAGAGAGAGAGAGGAGGGGGGGGGGAGAGAGAGAGAGAGTAAAGAAAAAAGTATTTCAAATATAAAATAGCGGACTTGCTATCAGGTGCAAAGAATCAGGGCCATTTGTTAAGTTGCAGTTCAGATTTATTGCTCAAAGCTATACATAAGAATCTTGTAGACACCTGAACAGAGAATAAAATTTATTTTCTATGTCCCAAAAATAAAAAGAATCTTGTCAACTAAAGTTCAGTACTAAATTAACATCAGACAAAGGCCACGGCATTTCAAGAGGGGCTGGTCTTAGATCATTTGTGCAAATGTAAAAATGCTAGGCTGATGGTTTGCTTAACTCCACCCTCATTTCTGTCTACTCTTCTCCTACACTTGCAAATTTAATCAATGTTCTAACACTGAAAATTGATCAACATAAAGTCCATTAATTTCACTCCTTCTCTTCAGTATAACTTTCTCTATTGTATAAAAACTTTCATTAAAAAGAATTCCAGGAACAATCTAAACTGTGACAAACTGTGACAAAATTAACACATTCCTTTATTTTATAACAAAAGGTCATGGCAAAATCTAAATTAGATAGTTGATATCTAATATTGCAGTTCTGTTCACAATGGCAAAGACGGATTCCTTCTTCTCAACCACTTTAAGGAAAGAAAAGCAGATGATAAAAATATTCCCAGTTTGTCTGGGGAACAGGATGTGCTTTCAATACAACACAAGGAAGGTTAGGCTAAGCTCCATTCATTAGACAGCTTTAGAAATTGTTGAATAATTCAATTCAACTCAGCTATGTTTAATGGACTTTTTAACTAGTAGATTGAGTAGGAGCATATAATTTTTCTAGAGAGGGATACAAATATGGCATCACACATTTGCAGTTTAGATGATCAAAATGTAGCTTCTGTAGCTCAAGAGAGTGAGATTCAGATTTGTCAGTGGGAAGATTATATTTTATTTACAATATCACTTGATACTACTAATTCTGGAAAACCAACAGTTTTCTACATAACTTTTTCTACCACTGGCCTAATAATAGATCTTGGTGGGAGGATTAATTAGCAATCAAACTACTTTTATTTTTAAAATAGTATTTTACTGTACTATCTTCTTCCATTACATGCAATTTAGCTTGATTTTTACTTATATATGCCAACTATTTTAAAAGACAAGATTCAAAGAAAATAAGATTAAATAAAAGCTTACTCTGAGAGATGAAAGATCATCTTCAGATTCAATGAAGTCTTGAATGGTATTGCCAACTGGAGTTAGCACACGATCAATTACATGAACAACACCATTTGTAGCAATTTGATTGCCATGGGTGATTCTGGCACAATTAACAGTCACAACCTAATTGGGAGAAAGCATGAATTAATATTTGCATTAATTTGGCTTCCCAACTTTAACCAAACAAGCTTTACATAGTCTTTTTTTTTTTCAATTAATTTTATAACTTGCTTATGAAACTTGTACTGTTTGTTTTTAAAAGTTCAGGAAACCATTTATCATATTTTTTGGACTATAAGACACTTCAGACTATAAGAAACTTTTGGAGAAGAAAACAAGAAAAAACCCTGCAATTTGCCTCCTGCCTCCCAGAATACCGATGATCAGCTATTCCAGACTGTGGGGATCACTGCTGCCCATTGGTGCTGCTGCCTTCCATTGCCACTGCCACCTATCACCACTTCCATGTGCCCCATTTTTGGCCTCCGCGTATCCCATTTTTGGTTTCCATGTGCCCCATTTTCAGCCTCTGTGCGTCCCATTTTTGGCCTGTTCCAGGTGCCTGGAACAGACTGAACATGGGACTTACGGAGGCCAAAAATGGGGGTGCGGCAGCTGAAAACAGGACACACAGAGGGCAAAAATGGGGCACACAGAGGCGGTGATAGATGGCAGCAATGATGGGTGGCACTGGTGCCGATGGGCAGTGGCAATCCCCTTAGCTTGGAACAGTTCATCATCAGTATTCCAAAAGGCAGATCCAACCACCAATCAGCTGCTCGTGCTACATCAGGCTGTGCTGAAGCTGACCAGGCTGTTTGCTGTTTGCTGCAAGGAGGCAAATTGCTGGGAGGCAGAGGTCGAAGAGTGGGGGCCGGTGGGTGGGCGGGGCTTCAGCAACATTCGCTCTATAAGACACACAGATATTTCCACCCACTTTTGGGGGGGGAGTGCGTCTTATAGTCCGAAAAATACAGTAGCTGGAAAATATTTTGCAACATAGCCCTTTAAATTACATTTCATTTTATGTGACTGAAAAAGTTATAGCAATCATGATTACTGAACTGCTTTCATATACCGTGTTTCTCATATAATAAGGCCGGGTCTTTTTTTTTTTTTGAGCCCCGAAAAAATGGCTAGGCTGTCTTTTTGGGGGTGACTTAATTCCCCCCCCTTGCATCTTTGGGCGGGCGGGTGGCGATGGCTTGGATGTTGACCTCGGTGTTGGTGGGGCACTTCGTATCGGGGTCAATGCAGGCAGCACCATATCTGGGTGTGCAACAAAAGTACTTCCTAACGGCAACCCCCCCACCACCATTCCCCACCATTTCGCATGTTTTAATTCGCATGCCTTAATTTGGGGGGAGGGGCTTAATTTCATTTCATGCCTATAAAACATGCTGGGACTTCCTATTGGGGGAGGCCGTATTGTTGGAGAAACAGGGTAGATTGTTATCTGAGTACTAATCCAAGGATTCTAATAGGAAGTGGAAATTAATTAGGATCAATGAAAGTTTAGCAGTATTTGAAGTGCATCAACACCGTGTCCATGGGACAATTAATAAATACCAATAGTGCCCTCTATACCAAACCTGGGGTTTTAAAATATTGTTATTTTTGATTATTTTCTATTTTTGAAAATCATCTTAACATAATAATCTTATATGAACAAATTACTCATATGAATTTCAAGGGAAATTTAAACTAGAACATTGAATCTTAGATCTCTTTCCAAAATGTATGATGTAAATAGTACAAGCCACATCCTGTTGTTCATTTATGTTATACAAATAAGCTTACCCCATTGGGATAGTGATTTATATGCAGTTTTTGATTGTTGTACATAGACACCAGAGTCATGCTATTCCGAAGGTCCTTTGTCAACATCCGTCTGTTTACCATATGATTGTGGAGAGCATTATACAGTTCGATGTTTACATTCTCAATCAGACCATTGTAGATTTCCTGGAGGCAGGGGAGTTGAATTCAGGTAGATATTCCATTAATTCCATTATTTCAGTTAACTAGTGAGATATTTTTGACTATTTTCTGAATCTTCTGACTTACCAGCCTAGTAGTGATTTCATTGACATAGCCAGTACTTGGCAACAATAACAAGTGGCTAAACATTTCCTTCTTCCAGGATAGCTTCAACTTTCTGCTCCAGCCTTTGGCCCTGAAATTCTCTGGATACCTCACAATTAAGTACAAAGCAGGCAACCAGAAAAGATCAGCCACATGCTACTACTGCTGCCTACTGCCTTTATTTCAGTTGCCTACTTCTTCTACTAAGCATGTTCTTCTTACAGCTCATTTTCTTGGTAATCTTTATATTTTTATATCGCCTTTTTTCCATCTAGCTTTTCTCCTTCAGAAAAAGTTTATTTATATTCACACCCCCACCTTTTCTATTCCTCCTTACCTCATTAGCAAATATTTTCTTAGATCAACCTGCCATAATACTTGCCAACTCAAGACACTTGCCAACAGTGTCCTTCATATCATTGTTATTCCACTGTCAGAAACTGTGCAGTCTCTTTAAGCTTTATCCTCTTCAATTTACTTTACACCTAGCTTCTTATATTCATTTAATGCATCAATGCTGGGTAATTGGAAAAGCCTAAAAACCAGGCAAAATAAGCCTTTACTGGGCATTCTCTCCATTTCAGCATTAATTCCATTTTCTAAGATATAATGATAACCTGAGGGAGGATCATGGGCTCTCCCTACATAATCTTAGGGCTTTTCACATAGGAGTCAGCAATTGAAGAACATAATCATAATTTTACTTGTTACATGGTACATTGGGAAAGACATGATTGGCTGTCACAATAATACATTTTTATTACAATAGACTAGAAAACAGATTTTCTGCAGCCTAGTCCTGTGAATTTGAAAGTCTGCCTTTCTGAAGCCAGAAGTTGCATTCTAGAAGCTACTGTGAAAACCCAAGTTTAAGTTACTGTTCCAGCCATCTTACCTCATGCCTGCAATGCCAAACACTGATTATTTAGAATTATGTGTGTGTCTGCAAGTGAACTTGTGAACAGGGATGGGATTCAAATTTCTAACAACCTGTTCTGTGGGCGTGGCTTAGGTGGTGGGTATGGCTTGGTGGTCATGTGACTGGGTGGACATGGCTTGGTGGTCATGTTATTGGCTGGGTGTGGCCAACTCAATATCACTCACATCGAGGCATGCATCTCCTCGCCTGGCCTCTCATGACTGTGGGGATGTTGCAACAATCATAAGTGTGAAAAATGGTCATCAGTCACTTTTTTCAGTGCCATTGTAACTTTGAATGGTCACTCCTCACAAGCAAAGTATCAGCAAAGGAGGGGAAAAAAACTCCAGAAACGTTCCTGAGATAGGAAGTCTAGTCCTGCCAAGAATGTAATAAAGGTTAATGAAGAGGCAGTTTCTGTAAGCAACACCAGAATGTTTCCTTCCTGCCTTCCTTACAGAATTAGGCCAGTAATTTATTCTAAGAACCGGTTATCCTAACTGCTTAGAATGTTAACAACCTGTTCTAGCGAATAGGTGCGAACTGGTAAAATCCTACCCCTGCTTGCAAATATATGTGTATAAAGTTAACCAGAATCAATAGTTCCAATAATATGTACAAAAGCTGAGTGTTAGTGTTTCTTCATAATTTATTCATCTATTAATTTCTTAGCATTAAACTTTTTATAAAAAATCAAAATTGATATAATTACACGATCTAAAAGATTCCAAGCTTCATTGCTTGGTGCAAAGAATGTGTAAGAGCCAGGTCCTTCAATTTCTTCTTTCAGTTTCGACATCTCAGAATAACGTTGAGTGGAGGTAGCTCCTATAATGCCCAAAGTGCCAAATATGTGATCTATTGGAGCCACTGAAAAAGAAAAATAACTTATACTAGTTATCAAATCCTTTTCTAAATTAGTTGCTCTTTTTCTAGTGAATTATTAATGGAATTTACTGTAGTATTAAATTGCTTCCTGTTTTAATGCCCAGATTTTAATGCAAATAAAGTTCCCTAGGATCTTTTGTGTTGATCAATGACTTGAATAACCCAGGATTTATTCTGGCCTGTGAAATTCAAGGAAGCAGACAGGGCACTATTTTAGATTATCCCCTGCTATGTGCAAGCTTGATCTGTGCTTATCCTGGTTGAACTTGCACATGGCAGAGGATAATCAAACATCCTTTTTATCATGTCTATAAAGCTGCTGAATCGTCCAACAGAATAATATCACCAAATTGCTAAGAATACCCAACTTTAAATCAACATTTCAGGCTGTAGGGGAGATGCCACTGAAGTCTCATAGTGTCTTGTAATTGACAGGATTTCTGTCAGAAGTAGAATTGAATTCTGACATGGTTCAGGTACAGTTTGTACATCAAAGCTCTCCATCAATAGTTATGTTATCTCTGGACAAGCAGGCATTACCTTTGAAAGAACAGATTCATGATCAGAGATTCTTCTGAATTCATGGCTTCTGCTACCTAAGAAGGCTTTGGCTCTGCTTTGGCACCCATTATGACCCTACTTAGCACAAGATGCCCTAAGTAATTCATGCACTAATTACCACCAGTTTAGTCTACTGCAATACATTTCACATGGGACCTTTCAAAAATGCTTAAAAGTTTCCAACATTGAGAACATACTACAGGCCCTGCACTGACTACCAATTAGTTTCCAGGTACAATTTTTTTTACATAGATGGCTTGGCACCTGTGCACTTACAAGGCTGCCTACTCCAACATGAATTGCCTTGACATATTAGATCATTTAGGGGAATCTATTCCTATCATTTTATCATTGGGAAATAAAGGAAGTTGAAGTAATGAGACTGTTTGTGGTAGCAACACCAATAATCCAGAATAATTTTTTCTTCATTAAAGGAAGAAAAATAGAGTTTTTCTAGGGCATCTTTTAATTTTTTTCAAGGCATTCTTTTATTTCTGTATATGTCTTAAATATAAAATATTTAAAAATAAATACATTGGGTATATTAAATAGTTCCATGATAATACCTGCAGGACATCCTCGTTCTCCTTCCATCTTCATGTAGCCAGGGCAGCATTCATATAAAACAGTTCTGCAGAGTACCAATGCAAGATTATTTTATCTTCCTATGTCTTAATATTTATTTAGTATCACTTTTAATGTAAACATATTTGAAGTGGATTAGAGGAGTTATATAGAATATATAAAAATATATAATATATAAAATATATAAAAACAAAATACACAATACAAAACTATATTTAAGCAACAATAAGAACAGATGCATTAAAAGTCTGTAATCAGAGCAAAAGCTAGGAACAAGAGAGATACACAGAGAAGTAAAAGGCAGTTTAAAAAGGGATTTCCACAAGAAGGATAATTAATCATTATTGAAAACCCTGCATCTGAAATCCCAATAATTTATATTGCACATTTAATTTTCTACAGAGATAGTCTCTAAGAATTATAGCAAAACTCGTTTGCAGTATAACAGAGCCTTATTTTACCATTTATTACATAACATTTTGCTCTTAAAATGGGGCATATCATTACTCAGTATTCCTTCGGTACTCTGATTAAGTTCAGGACCATGTCTTGAACAAAAGAACCTCCTAAATTCCAATAGTCATCCTCCTGTAAGTCATTTATCGAATTTCAATGCTATTTTCCAGAAACAGAGTTGGAAGCTGTAGTTTTGTATTGCAGTTCTAACATTTTATAGTGACAATCAAAACAAGTCAGTCTTTATTATAGTCATAATAAGTTCAAAATAAATACAGTTTTCAATATATAAATGTTGTACAACTCAAGGAATTCTAGGTTCCCATAACCTAGATACAGCTTTTATGCCATTCCAGTAAAGATTAACTCTAATCTATAAAATTTGCTCTCTGAAATGCAATAGTCCTTGTTTATTGATAGAAACTGAACACAGTCATAAGGCACAATATCGCTTTGCAACAAACAAAATCAATGAGGAAGCTGACAGGAATTAACAAAAGTTGATCATGTCTCAATGGGATGCTGCAATGTGATTGCAAGCCCAAATTGCAATCAGATGACCACAAGGATATTACAATGGTCACAGCTACCAGGACCGATCAAAAATACCTCTCAGCATTGCCATACATTTGAATGGTTGCCAAATGAGTGATCATTCAATAAGGGCTATCTGTACATTTATTTCCATCTAAATAGTACCATGAAAATCAAGCTGGCTCTGCTACACAGACACTATAGGTAATCCACACAAAATTAATAAATAAAATTATAAGTTATTATTATCATTATAGTTAATAGTCTTGAACAGGACTTACGCTCTCTTTCCACAGATGGTTCCCTGGTACCAGTTCCTGCATGTGCTGAAATATTTCTTATTGGTTCCCATAACTTGCTGGAGAGCACAGACATTTGGCCTGGAAGAAAACAAAAAACATCCTTTACAATTTGAATGTTTACTTACTTAAAATATTTATATATTGCCTTTATGGTTGTGAAAGTTGGACCTTTGAAAAGCAAGACAGGAAGAAAAATCAACTCATTTGAGGTGTGGAGAAAGCTCCTGCATATTCCTTGGACAGCTAAGATGACTAGCAAGCAATGGCAGATTCCTCCAAATATACATTTCTCATAACTATTTCTGTGTACATGTTGAATAGTATAGGTAACAGGATACAACATTGCTGGGTGCTTTTTCCAATTCTGAACCATTTTGTGTCTCCATATTCCGTTCTTATATTGGCTGCCTGATCAGAGTACAATGACTGAATGAGCTGGATTTGGTGTAGTGATATTCCCAGTACTTTGAGGCAGTTCCAGGGCTTGTCATGGTCAACAGAGTCAAAGGCTTTTGTGTAGTTAATGAAGCATATATCTTTATGGTATTCCTTTGCTTTTTCCATCATCCAATGCAGATTGGCAATATTATCACACATTCCTCTCCCTTTCTGAAATACAAATACTGCTTGTAGATCAGGTAGTTCTCTGTTGGCAGTTGGATTCAAAAATTGCTGGATTTATCTTCAAGATAATTTTACTCACATGTGATATCAATACTATGGCTTAGTGGTTGGAACAGCCTTTCATATCACTTTTCTTTGGTATTGGAATAAATATCAACCTGTTCCATTCTTTTGGCCACTGACCAGACTTTCACATACTTTAGCAAAGTGCTGTCAGTGCTTTTGTTGGCAGTGGTCTCAGCAACTCAGCAGCAACTCAACTTTGAGGTTAGGCAACTGGTTGAGTGCCCACACTACTTCCTCCTCCAGGATACCTGGTTCCATTTCTGGTAGGTCAGCTTCTCTTTTTATGGCTTGGCCTTGTTTTCGTTTATGTAAAGTTGTTGCATAAAGTTGCATATTCACATCATCTTTCTCTGAAAGCTTGTTGCTCATGCAATTTCTGCCCATCATGTCCTCTGACCATAGCCTTTCTTACCATAAAGGGGTTTCTGGCCCTCATAAGTGAAACTCATAAGTGAAACTCTCTTCATAAGTGAAACTCTCTTCATAAGTGAAACTCTCTCTTGTATGACTTCTCATGGCTCCTTTCTGCAGTTTCTTTCATTGTTCAGCCCAGTACTTTTCTTTATATTTTCTTGCCACTTGCTGGAACTTTGCATTTAGTTTTCTCATTTCTTCCCTGTCACCAATGGTGTTTGCTTTTGTTCTCTCTTCTGCAGTCTCTGTTGTAGCTTCCAATCTCCATTTGGGCAATTTCATTGGTTTCTTGTAAGTAAAATATTTTTTTGGCTACTTCAGTAAGAGTTATTTTTATTTCTTCCTATAGCTCATCTGGTTGTCTTTCTGTGATGTTGGACAGTTCAAATCTATTAATTTCAGTTGCATATGCTAGGGGAATCTTCTTGACATCAAATTTCTGAATCATGGATGGTCATTTAAGTTCATGGTGGGACTCACAATCTGCACTAGGGAACATTTTCATGGTGAGGCAGTGCTGGGATTCAGCCGGTTCGGGCGCATTTAGGCAAACTGGATGTTAATTTTACATCCAGTTCGGTGAACTGGTTGTTCCAAAGACCAGCTAGCCCTGCCCCACCCTATCCCTCTCCTCCCTGGAGTCCCTATGCATCTGGAGTCCCTATGCATCTGGTTCTGGCTCCCAGGTAAGTGCAGAGAGGCCTTCTAGGCCCAAAATGGGGCAATGGGGGGTGCATACCGCATTTTGGCTCCCAGGAGGCTGCAGGGAGGCTTCGTAGGCCTAAAACAGGGCATGGGGGTGTGGTGCACCCCCTTGCACCCCATTTTAGCTCTCCTGAGGCTCCAGGGAGGCTTGCTAGGCCCAAAATGGGGCATGAAGGGGTGCAGCAAAAGAAAGAAAGAAAGAGAAAGAAAGAAAGAAAGAAAGAAAGAAAGAAAGAAAGAAAGAAAGAAAGAAAGAAAGAAAGAAAGGAAGGAAGGAAGGAAGGAAGGAAGGAAGGAAGGAAGGAAGGAAGGAAGGAAGAAAGAGAAAAAGAGAGAGAGGGAGAGAAGGGAGAAAAAGGAAGGGAAGGAAGGGAGAAAGGAACGAAAGAAAGAGGGAGAGAGGGAGGGAGGGAGAGAGAGAAGGGAAGGGAAGGGAGAAAGAAAGGGAGGGAAGGGAGAATGAGTGTAGGGAAGGGAAAGTGAAGGAGATATGGATGGTTGGATGGATGGATGGTTGGATGGATGGATGGGTTGGATGGATAGACGAGGGGGAGGAAGGAGAGAAAAAGGAGAGGAAGGAAGGACCACAAACCCTGGCACTAGACACAGATTCAGAGGATGCTTTGAAACAGCACAGCAATCCAGGGCTGGAAGGGACCTCAGAGGTCATCTAGTCCAATCCCCTGCTCCAAGAGCATTGTTAAAGTGAGTTTCTCTCCTTTGGCCTACCCAGTCACATGACCATATAGCCATGTCCACGCAGTCACATGACCACATAACCAAGCCATGCCCACAGAACCAATAGTAAAAAAAATTGAATCCCACCACTGTGGTGAGGATGAAACTTTTCCACTTCATATGGCAAAGTATGTAGTCAGATTGGTTTTGATGCTCTCCATTTGCTGAAATCCAAATGTATAGTTGCTGCTTGGATTTTTCAAATCACATGTTCATTATCCTTAGCTGATGTTCATGACATACCTGAATCAGATTGTTGTGGTCCACCAGCAGCCTGCAAAGATGACAGCAGAATCAGACAGTGGGGAAGAACATGGGCCAGTCCGGGAGTCTGGGGAGGACTCAGATGAGGGTCCTGCATCTGATGCAGAGATGGGGCCAGGGCCATCTGGGAGTTATGTGCTGACTCAGGAGCCTCCAGAAGCTGACAGCAGCAAGGCAGAGGAACAAGGGAAGCCTGTTCCCAGTGCGTGTGTAGGCAGAGCTGCCAGAAGGCAAGAGCAGTTAAGACAAAAGGGGAGACTCGGGAGTAAGGCTTGGAGGTGATTGCCACTCCTATAAGATACAAAGGAAGTGCAAAGGTACATGAGCCTTTGCAGGAAGCAACTTTATTTGCTCTGTTCAGATTAAACCTTGAAGCTCTGTGTGGACTTTGTACTTTGTTTGGCTTTTTACAGTTAATTTGGCACTTTAGTTGTTGGCAGCAATTCAAAAAAGATAAAGGTAGGTGCTTATCTCGAGGGACTGTTTGGGACTCATTACGGGCTGGGAATGAACATAATTCCCAGCATTGAAATAAAAAGAGAGTTCTTTGGACTAAGCATGTGCCATCGCTGCGGTGGAGAACGTGTACATGCTTCCTGCTCTGCTCTTGCCAGCTGGAGGTGAGTCCCTGCCATGGGGGGGAGAGGGAGAGGGAAGAGGGGGTGTCTTCCCGACAGGATCCAGGTTGGAGTTGCCTTATTTTGTATGGATCTCCAACACTTGGCTTTGCCTGCCAGCCTCCACTCTCCCTCCACAGCCCAAGTGGTTGGATTCACACAATATGTGAAGCTAGGCAGGAGATAGATAGATGGAGGGAGAGATGGAGAGATGGAGGGATAGGTAGATGGATGCAGTGATGGATAGATGGAGGGAGGGAGGGAGAGATAAATAGATGGAGGGAGGGAGGGATGCAGAGAGGGATGCAGAGATAGAGGGATGGATGGAGGGATAGAGATAGATAGATAGATAGATAGATAGATAGAGAGAGAGAGAGAGAGAGAGAGATAGGATAGATAGATAGATAGGATAGATAGATAGGATAGATAGATAGATAGATAGATAGATAGATAGATAGATAGATAGATAGATAGAGGGGTGGGTGGGTGGGTGGATGCATAGATGGGGGATAGATAGATGGAGGGTTGCAGGGATGGATTGTGGGATAGATAGATAGATAGATAGATAGATAGATAGATAGATAGATAGATAGATAGATAGATAGATAGATAGATGGGATAGATGGGTGGATACATGGAGCAAGGGATAGATAGAGGGAGGGATAGATGCATGGATAGATAGATGGAGGGAGGGATAGATAGATGAGACACACACAGAGAGAGACAGACACTCAACTTCCGGTTTGGCTCTCTTCAGCGACACACCGAAATCCGTGATCGTGCATGGTTTCAATCTGTGCTCGCCGCTGGAGCCCCCCAATCCTTTGGATTCGGGGCTGAAGCCACCCCGCAGAGGTGATGAAGAGGGGGGAGATTGCTAGCCGAGTGGAGGGGAGCCGCATCTCTCCTCCTTGGCTGGTCTAAACTCCCTTCCCCGAAGGCGGTTGCAGCGGTGGTCAGGAATGGCCACCTCAAAGAAGAACCCAACTGGATAAGATTGTGCAGGAGGAAGACAGAGGAAAGCAGGACAGACCGGGCTAAACAACAGAGAACATCTAAGCAAGGTACCCTGAATCTAAAAGTACCTAGAGGGATACTTCTGAAAGAAGATCTTTAAGTGGCGACGGAGAGAGAAAAGGAGGTTAAAAACCTTTTTTTAACCTTTATATTGACAATTACAAATGGTATGGAAAGAAATTTATATTAATCTATTTTGACACTAATAGGCAATCTTAAACTGAAATCTAAGTGTCAAAAGGAGAATAAATATTTTTTCTTGGTCATTTTAAAGCCCTAAAAAGGAGAAGAGTGGAGGCAAAAGGGTGGGACTTGGACTAATGGAAAAATGGAGTGCCACCTGGAAAAATAAAGAGGATTAACAGTGAAACTTTGAAACTCCTGAGGATACATTGTAACTGAAATCTTATTAAAAGATATAGTAACCCACGGAAAGGAAAATTAAAGGAAAGAAATAAGAAGGAACAGTCTGGGATCATTTGGTGATTTAAAAAAAAGTTTTTGGCATTGTTTTTTTCTTTCTTTTTCTGTTTTTACTTAAAGTCAATCGGGTGGTTGTTCAAAAGTGTTTAAAATGCCATCACCCCTGGAGGAATTGAAGATGAGTCTTAAAAAACAGAAAGAAGATGCAGA